CAATAGGTTGTGCTTATAAACCTGCTTTCCCCTCTGGTCTCTCAGTCACTGACGAAAGCTAGTAGATACTTCAAAATCGTTTTCAAAATCATATCCAGTTGCTTGAGTAACTGTTTTTTGGCGTATCGTATTACCTGGATGTCTAACCTTCATCGGCCTAAAAATGAATAGTTTGGCCAATTTTTATGTTTGACCTGTCGTAATATTTTTAGCAAAGTAATGGAGCGGACTAGCAGAATAAAATAGAAAATATAAACAGGAATTCTGTGAAAGATCCAACTCAAATACTACCGCAAGAGCCACAAATTTACACTACCCTCTGGTTAACATAAAGACCCCCTTTTTAACCAATAGTATGAATCTTCCAGTAAACAAGTTTATTAGCCATTCAATGGCATCAAAATAGACAGAGCTAAAAAGAGCCATGCAATATAGACTTCAACTAATAAGAAATCTCTATCACATGACGTTCTTGTGGGCACCCTAAGAAACAAGTCAACCTCATTCCAGAATAAACAAGGTAAAAGTCAATTTACAATACAATCCTCTAAAATAAGGCCACACACCTCCTAATACCCCCGTCACATTGCGCGTAAATCGATCGGCCGACTAGTTGGCGACCTCTAAACGACATTTACGGCCGTAGTACGCCCGATGTTCCGTCGAGCATCGCGCGAATTTTCGGGATCGCCGGCGATTTTTTGGAGTCGGCCGAAGCTCGCTGACACGCGAAACGTGTTCTTAACATCAGCGACTAGTCGCCGGCGATTTTTGAGGTCGCAGAGCTCGTTTCCAGCTCGCGCGTACCTCGCCCGTAGCTCGTCCCTGTACGACCGAGAGACGACCGATATTCGGGCGTACATCCCACGAGTCTCGGCCGTTCTTTGTCTTCGAAAATCGGGCGATGGTCGCTGAATACGGTCGACCCTCGCGCGAGCTTCGCGAAATATTCGGGAGACCCTCTTCCGTACCTCGCCCGACTTGCGCAACGTTTTTAAAATCGTGCGTGCTTCGAGCGATCTTCGTGCCAGTGTCGGACGAAGGTTCTACGAGCCTCGGTGAGCTCCTGTGAAGTCATTATTATTTGGCACCTGTGACATTTA